ACATACATCGCGGGATGCATGTTTTAGGTTAATTGTTGTGCCGACTAGCGAAAGCTCGACGAAACTCGTTTTCCAGTTGGAGCGATGACGAACGTATTTGTGTCGTATCCGTGGATTCCGCCATTACCTCTTCGCTTCTCTCTTTGCATGTAATGGATGCGGTGTGCTTGCCAGTATCGTCTGCTAGTTGTTTGAGCTTATTCCAACTCTTATCGAGCAGTGGTCCGATTAATTGGCTGCTCTCGTGTGTTTTCCTAGTATATGCCGCTTTAATCCGGAGCTCGGATAGAGGCTACTGAGGCCCACATATCAGCACTGCAGTACCTTCGTTGATATTAGTCAAGATTGAAAGACCACTTTCACAGTCCTTGTGCCACATCCTCTGTAGTTTGGCGATCTACGTAGGTTCGAGAGCGACTGTGCTATGACCTTTCCGAGGGAGAGGGTCTCCCGAAGGTATCGCCATTGTTCCTCGTCGTGAGTGGTCGCTTCGCACTCATCATGCCTTCCAGCCTCAGGAACGCCGTGTACTATCATTGTCCTGATTACGGATTCATGCCGGTTTTCGTCCAGGTGTGACTTTGCCTGTTTGCGCCTGCTCCACGAAATATCCGGGAAGATGCGGATAAAACATGACGCATTCCGGAGGCGAGCTGCCGATAATAGGACAGTTTCAGCTTCATCGGCGGAAGTCAACACAACTCGGAGTAGTCTTGGTTCACCCTATTACTGTGAGCTTGGGTGACGGGTAACGCGTGTCAAAGTGACGGGCTAAGCTACAACACCTATAATGTCATGTATGGAGTTCCACTGGTTCAGATCATCGAGTAGTTTACATTTTATGAAATTCGACCTCTATTCTGGAACGTTGGCACACATTACCGCTGGTATGCTACGTGCACATCGAGTTGAGGTTGAACGAGCAGCTTGTCTGTATATTGCCGATTGAGACTGTGTGGGTACAGCTTCGTTTTATGCATTTAACCTAGATCCAGTGGGAGTCGTCGAAGGTAGGTTTTCGGTCACCTGTGGCAGCAACCAAGTTCCAACCATCACTGTTGTCGTAGTCCTTCTGTATTTTCGGAACCGCTTGGAAGGTGGACGAGGCCCTGATCGTGCTTCTTGCAGTCGGACTGGGGGTGATTTGTTCATACGTGTTTGAGCAAGTGGTGGTCTTGACAGATTATGCATTTTAGCGCACTGCCCGGACTTCTTCCCCAGTTTTAATGTGGGGCCTGATGGGAATGACTTGGATTTACTCTCACTCACGCTTTCTGCAAATGAATCGCTTTTAGTGCTCCTCACTTGTTCAAGAATTGCTACTGTAGTGCACGGGAAAACATGCGCTGTCAGTATGTTGCAACCTTGGATTTTACGGTTGTTTTAACCTTCAAAACGTCCACTTGTCTTACTGACGGCACATTCGTTGACACCAATCGTTTTGGTGAGTACCTTGCTGTATCGTTTCTCGCTGTAGTTGATTCGCTTCCCATTTTTGTAGCCAGCACAATACACTTTGGGTTTAGTCGCCTCCAACTTTTATACTGTCCCGTATTTGACACGCCTTTCACGTGTCCTTGATTACCAGGCAGTATCCTGGGCTACACCCAACAATTGCTGACCCCGGTCCAGAACATGCCGTCCGCCATTTAGAATTTTCATTTTAGTGAACTCGTTCCAGTGATTCTGATTCATTACTTGTGATCATATTGTTCTCTCACCTACCACACTTTTTATTAGCTTTTTGCAATGGATTATCTAGAGAATGAGCAATCTCCATACGTGGTTAGCGCCGTTGAGCCTGTCCTGGTCAGTGCAGTTGCGTTAGCCAATCCACCTTTTTGGGTGAATGATCCTTCGTTCTGATATTTGCACCCAGAATCCGATTTTTACATTCGTAGGATTTCTTCTGATTTCTCAGCTAATATCTCGCTTTCCTCAGAGTATATCCTCGCAGATGACAGACATTATATTTTGCCCGGCTCTTATAATGAAATACAAGACTCTCAAACAGGCTATTATTCACTGAATCGCTCCGTCTGACAAGGTCCGTCTGCAGTAACTATTTAGTGATCTGCAACTAGGAGATAGGATGCCCTCAGCCTTGTTGCGCGAAATGCAACAACTCATCTGCACGTCCAACATGGACGTCGGGATTCTCCGCGAGCTGTGGATGCAACACCTTCCTGAAAGCACTTAGGCTATCCTTGCAGTAGCAAGTGACTTGCCAGTCACAGTAATTGCTGATCTGGCAGACCGCGTCATCGAACAGCACCAGTCAGAGACTGAAACCAAAGCACCTAAGCAACTATGTGCTGGCGCAACCACACCGACAAGCGCGACTAACCAGCCGTCGGCAATAGACCCTTTATCATCGCAGATCGCGTCGCTTCAGCACCAGATCGAGGAACTCACTCTAAACCGTAAGCACCGCAGCCGCTCTGGATCATCGCCCTGTCGCACAAAACCTGGTGCCCCGGGTTACTTACTGTTTTACCCCTCGCGTTTCGGTACTAAAGTCTGTAAGTGCATACAGCCATGTAACTACTCCGCTACAGATGACCCGCTACGCCTACCTGTAATGGTCACGAACGACCTCGGCGAAACCCATAGTCGTCTCATCTACATTAGGAATTATGATTCCGAGACCCAGTTCTTAATTGATACCGGGGCGGAAGTCGGCGTCATTCCCCTATGCCAGGTGAGCCTATCACTTCTTTGTCGACAAACCCAGGTGCCACCAATGGCACGCCAATAGCCACCTACGGTCATCAGTCGCTTATTCTGGAATTAGGTCTTAGGCGCACGTTCCGCCGTTGAGGAGCACTCAATGATCTCATTGATAACCCCGCTAGAGATGAGAGAAAGCACATTGTCGGACAACTGGAAAGCGTGGAAAGCGGATTGGATGGAATTCGCGGCGTTGATCCAGTTGGATGAATATGCAAGACCATACCAGTTGGCAATGTTCAGATACTCCACCGGCTCTGAAGAAACTCGGATAATGGAGGACTGGGATCTTTGGGACAATGAACCGGATCTTTTAGAAATAATCGAGCGTTTTGAAGGATACTGTGAAGGTCGATGGTATTTTTTTTACCCACTACCGCCGAGTGGACGAGAATCGTTCAGCCGAGCCTGAAAGCAATCAACAGTCGCAAGAGCAGTTACCAAAGAACTTGGAAAATCAATATGATCAGCATTGCATTTCCGCAGTACCCCATATTCAAGTATTATCAGTACCGTCAATACTTGTTTCACGAGCCACTGAGTACGTCGCCCGGGAAGCAATACAGCGGAAAGCAATGTAGTGTGAAACAGAGTTGTCACAGAAGGCGGAACGGCTTCGCGGTGCACCCAAAGGGGAAGGCTGTGGTGGGCGCCCTTAAGAAAACAAAAAATAAACTTATAGAAGTCAAAGCGACACAGGATCCTTATCTAATGCAACTGGGAAGCAATACGTGTTCTACCGCATTCGGCAGCAGTCTAGTACAGCTCCAATTCAGTCATAGGATAGACCGCAAGCCCGTCCACAGTGGACGAGGATATGGAAGCTGCAACACAATAACTACGAAAAAATGAAAAAGGAAAGGATATGATGGTGACTAAAAGCTGGGGAGAACCGAATCGCCTGCCTCAGTGCGGTCGATAAGACGATCGATCGAGTGGGCGAATGAGTTTTAAATACACAGCTAGTTGTACTTTGCCTCAGCTTTGTGAATAGAGCGTTTGTGTGCAAAGTCGGTGCTAGTTCTTTCTGTCGACGCGGCTGGGTGAACCAATCACAAAACATTTGTTGTTGTGGTGGTGGTGGCGACAGCTCCCAAAGGTGCCAAGCAGCACTGGACCGATTAGCACTGGCTGTTAATCGTTTTGGGCTGTGCTTTGCTCCCTCGAAATGCAAATTCTCCAAGATTGTCAGGGACCCAATCTTGCTCTGACGCTTGGTGGTGATCACGTAGAAGTCGTTCAGGAATTCAAGCACCTGAGCAGCTATATTGGCGCCCGTGGGATCGAAGATGAGATTATGAGCCGTATAGCAAAAGTTTGAGGTGCTTTTCCAATCTCCGCCACCTGTGACGCAGGCGCGACATCACTCTCGCTTTGAAGGGCAGAGTTTAAAATGCAACCGTCCGTTCAACCTTCTTATACGGTTGTGAAACCTGGCCCATCAGGTTGACAGGCATAAAGGGGCTAGTAACGTTCGACCATCGCTGCCTTCGCAGTTTAGCTCGAGTGTGGTGGGAGCACCGCGTGAGTAATGTGCGTGTTTGTCGTCGCGTATGTGGTGCAGGAAGATTGAGTGAACCGCTCATCACCATTAATTATATCAGGCAGCATGCTTCGATGGCTAGGCCACGTGTTGCGCATGCCAGCACACCGATTCCCGTGACGTGCATTGTTTGTGCGCCGGGGTGTTAGTGGAAAAACATGAGAGGAGGTCAAGCGATGACTTGGTCGAGAGAAAACCGTCGCTTCGAAGCTGGCGTCGGTGGGTGTATTCCGATTGCCTGGCTGAGGTCCTATGGACGATGAACACGTTTGGTTGAACACAGTTGCTGATATGGTGATGAGCCGGCCCCATTGGTGTTTGTGTTGTGAGTTTCTTCGTCCATCCCTTTCCCCATTAGATTCTCCCTCCAATTCCGATCTCAAACGAAGTGCATAATCTAATATTTAACATCATATTACTTGCTTCGAATCTTTTTTCGTAGTGTAAATTTTGTAGTCTTTTATCTTTTTTCTTGTGGCACACTAGGTGAGGTGTTTTTCTTACCCTCAACTAACGTGTACTGATGATGATGGTGATGACTCATTGGCGTGCTGCCGATGCATCTTTCTCATAGTCGCAGTTCAAATTCGCTTGGTCATGTTTGTGTGGGATACTTTGCAGAATAACACATTGTCGATTCAACTAGTATTTACTTCTTTCAATTTAGAGTCTGTAGCAGTTCTTTTACTAGGGCGCTCATCGTTTGGTCCTCTTATTGCCTTCACAGAATTGCAGTACTTCCTCTGGGCTGTCGAAACCAGCAACCTTCACTTATCAGGCCACTTCGTGTGATGTTTCTACAGAGAAACGTCCTTTCGGCAGTGATGACCTGCCACCTTCCTCGGACGGCTCCACCCCAGGTATGTTGTCGTCCAGTGCTTGTTGGTTACGAAAAATATCTTCTTGCTGGTCACTATTTGCTGCGGTATATAACCTGCCGTCATGTGGGCATCTATCCGTCTTTAATCTCGTTCTGTTAAGCCTATTGCTAGTTCTTCCGGCACTCGTTTATAACATTTGTTTTAAAACCTCGCCGTCACAATATGTTGCCTGCGACTCTGCGGAATGCAATGGTAATCGAACTGATTATACTTAGCCTCGTACGTTGTTTAACCCGCGGACCTCTGCAGCCCCAAATTCAAGCCATCCGCTTTCCTACTCTCATCCCCCAGCCGAATTTTCTTTATGCTTCGGTATTCTCATTCTGTTGCCAACGTGTGTCTGTGCGCTCTCACTAACTGATCGATTTCATGCACCAGTTACGAAGTTCAGCTTGTTGAGCTACCGCAATGCGCATATATATATATATATATATATATATATATATATATGTATATATATGTATAATAGTTACCTATGAACCGTTGATAGGGTGCTACAATATTACACTATTGCACATGGGGACGAATAAGAAAAAAACAAGGAGCGGAGAAAAAGCAGTCATAGGAAGAGTCTCACAATAAGTTCGTCGCAGGGTACGTTTCCGGCCACGTTCGATAGCTTATCCAACCAATTATGATCACTCTACTTGGGCCCCCAACCTGGGAGTCGAGAACGCCCCGCCGTGGGTAAAATCCGTTGACCATTCGTCAAAAGATACCTCAGACGAATTAAACGTCACATTAAAGATTCATCCGGGATATATGGAAGAATGCAACACATCCACGATTACTTTTATCGTGTTCTGCCTGCAATGTTTTCTGATCGCTTGCATAGTCGATTACGGATTTCAACCCTTGGAAGTTGACACTTCCCAGTTTCTTCGGCGTTTTTTGGTTTGTCGCCATTTGACCATTTTTGCGCTTCACTTATTCAATGTCATTGTCATAAATTACGCACGAAAAAGTACGTGCTTGATAGCCATACTGTAGACATACTTTGTAAGCTATGTTGTCCTGGTGTGGTCCTTTGGGATTGTTTGCTGTGCACTCGCTAGCGAACCTTGTTAGTTACCTGCCCGTCATCAGATCGATAAACGGGAAGAGGTTTGTTGCGTTCGACTAATGTTCTCTTCACAGTTTAACTCATGTCATTTGGGAACGCCGCTTGAGTAATGATCATGTTCGGTGTCGTGTATTTGGTGCAGGAAGAGCGAGTGAGCCGCTCAGCACCATTGTATTACCCGCCAGGATACGGTGGCTAGGCACGTGTTGCAAGTACCAGTACACCGACTCCCGCATCGTGCGTTTTTTGCGCGCCGGCGGTGGTGGGAAGAAGTGGTGAGGCCAACCGATTACTTCGCCTCGGATGGTGTCTCCCGACTGCCTGGTTGAGGTCCGAAAGACGATGAACGCATTTGGTTGGATACACTTTTTGCCATCGCGACACACTGACCTCAGTGACGTTTGTGTTGTGTTTCTTTGTCCAGTCCATCCAACCACGATTTCATTGTCGTAACAACCTACAGCAAACATGATATGTATATTTTTGTTTTCCTCACACTTTTATGGCTATGTAATTGTATTGTACTCCTGCACATTAGCTGATGTATTTCTTCTCATATCTAGCTTACCTGTGCGATAATGCTGATGTGCAATTCAGTTCATCAACAATAATCCGTGCGATAGAGTTCGATGACTCCGCTTGACTCAACTCGCCAAAATAGTGACATTACTAATAATTCAGAAAGAATGTACGATAATTAAAATCGTTAGATGAGGAAGTTGTGAGTCGGAGACGAGGAAGCCATCTCCTTTGAATTCATAATCCTGCCATATCTGATAGCATATGTAACCGCCGATGTGGTTGATTCCGCCTGCCCTATTCGGGAATCCAGCAAGCACGTGTGCCGTTTATCTTTCCGATGAGGTTTTTCAATGATCCTTGCTATGACGTTGACTGGTCACCTTGAGATTTCCCGCAACTAGCACAACATTCGTAGACAACACAAGCCTAGACAATCGATCTTTAGGTATACACTGAACACCACGAAGCCAGCAGAGGCTGTTTGCGTTCAAAAATAGAGTACGACGGTCTGTTAACAAACACCAGATGACTGAATCCGGTATCACTCATTCGATGCTGTCTCAAGACGCGAACCTTATTCCATAGACATTAGTGACCAAACACTAGCAATCTCTTAATGTCTCCATCAGGAAAACTATAATTCGAAGAGGCAAGGTTACTTCCGATCTGTGAGACGGACGGTCATTCCACCGTTCTCCAGAACACTTCAAGCTGACGTTCATGGCAGTAAGGAGGGTGGTGCGGAGCAGGCTTGTTTCATTTTGCAAGTAATACCGGAGTGACGAATTTCTACCCATGACATTCAACTCCCCCTACTACTCTTCTGTAATACCGGAGTATTGCTAATGATCGTCATGTTCCCACACGCGGCTCGACATCATTAGGGCAGATTCCCTAGAGGATATTGACTAGCCTCGTTCTCTCCATTTCTCAGTAAACAGTCAGAGTGCAACTGTATCGACTGGGTCTAATGCAACTCACTAGTCTAGAAGGATAAAGAAGGTATGCCAATCGAATACTTGTATATCATGCGGATCGTGGATGTATGATTAACACGGATCCGACTTGGCGAAGTCCAGTTCTTTCACCATGAGATCAGCAACCAACATTCCGTGGGACAACCTGAATTTTGTTTGTTTGTTGTATTCTTGCTCCGGTTTAGTCTTCACGTGTTTGGTGTCCGCATACGCGACTGAGCCTCCATGAAATCATGGTAGGGAGCACTTCCTACGCAACAATTAAGCGTTAGATCCCCCCATAGCTAGCACAATTTATTCGGTTACTTTTTTAAAAATATGCACAATGTCCGCTAGGTTTCAATATGACTTATTGACGTTTGCAATCCAAGTCTCTTGGAGGATGGAAGTAAATCCACTGTGAAGAGACGGTTTGTGTTGAACCGGAGGCAGTCTACTCAGTTGTGAGAGTTGTGAGGCTTCAGAAAACGAAGCTCGTAGGAAACCTCAGCCTCGGGTGGCGGTTGGGTGCTTACACCTGGGAGCGCTGTGGATACAAGAATGAGAACTCGAGGGTAACCGTGGCCATTTGAACTGCTGTTCAAAGTGATCCATCCAACGCACAGACCGGCGTTGGCGTTGATGAACTGGGTCACCACTGGTTTCACACAGCATTTCGCTTCCATATGCATTCTGACCGCCAGTGGATCGGAATAAGAGAAAAATTCACGGAAGCCCTGTTGAGCCAGCTTGTTCCCCATTACTTACTGTGAAGCTGTAGACGTCATCTTATCTATTGTCATGGTGTTTGAGAGTACTACATCTTATTGACAACTGACACGTGGTTGTATGATAGTAGTAGGTGGGTGCATTACCAGTTGGATAACACTGGTGGTTCACTTACTGGCACAAACGCACAACCACGATCTTTATGGAGTTTGACCGCTTACATACTACTAACCGAAGCCGGCATCTACAAAATACAATCACCGTTGGAACAAGGGGAGATGGGACTACCACTTACCTCAACAGCAGTCTAACAGCATCCGGGCCAGCGTGAATCGGATCGCCTAGCAGTGACGAACCATACAATGAGCCGCTCGCAAACCACACCAGCAACACACAAGAGCTTGCTGCTTGTTAGGCATGATAGGTTGTCTTGCGGTCACTCGTTTTTGTTTGATGTGCAGCTCATGTGCATTCTTTGGAGGGATTCACAGCCGAGGATCATCATGACTTCTAGAGCACGAGTTTGATATCGATGGACCCGGAGTTGCAACGAGCTGTAGCGGTTGAGCGATGGCCATGTTGTCTATTCTTCACTCGTGTTCCATTATCGCATTTCGACATTTCTTCCCCTTTATGAAGTGGACATCCTCATGGCCATACTAGTAGGGTATACTCTATAGTATACTAGGGGCCTCCTTAGCGATCAACCGTGTGGGGCCATTTCCGTCATCTTACTTGTCCAGAACTTTTGCGCAAATTTCGCACTGCGATGATAATCATCACCGTTTTGTGAACTGCGTCAGCGAATAGCGTGAAAAGCAGTTTATTCCGTGCTCATACGCTACGTCATCTCTACATTTGGAACTATGCAGCAACTAGTTTCATCATCGGATGATATTAAAGCAACAGCATGTTCCGTACTGGGCTCTAAGTTAATGCCTCCTGAATCAGAGTTTGGGCCCAGTACGCCCCATAAACACAACTCCATCATTCTTGGCTTTTAAATGATACTATGTGTTACTCTAGATTACTTTCCAACCGAATACAAGCCAAAAACGAAAACCAGTTTCTCCTCAGCATCTTACTACATAGGTTATATTGCCTGGGTATAGATTGCATTGCACCACCCCATTTCATTCTCAATTCCATCCTTTTCTCAGCAAATCCTGTCTCTCCGAACCCGGTGGCCGCGAACTGGAAATCGACGTCCTCTCCGACGGATTTACTCCAACGTAAGTTCCGGTGACCCATTCGGGGGCTAAATTTGCCCTCTCAAATTCTTGCTGTAACTCTCCCAATTCGAGATGACTCAGATCCGCCTATTCCGTACGTTCACTGTTTCTTCAAACTTTATTATTGACAATGGTAATACTTCTCGCTCCTCTGGTATAGTTTCTCGATTATGCACTATACAACGAAACAAATAGTAATCTTGTGAGATTAATTTAAAGAAAATCCGTTTGCTTTTTTCGACTTCGAGTTGTTTAATGGATGTAGTTTCAAAACGCAGTGCTTGTCAATTATTTGTGTTCGCCGACTGTGGGTTGTGGGCTGCTAGTGAGAAATGCAATCGACGTCTCAGCCGTGGAGATCCTTCTGTGTTCGAGCAGCTTACATGTCGGAATCCAGATGACATCATGGAAGCTGTTTTATGATTGACGTTAATTGTAATGACAGTAGTCATCGCTTTCTCTAATTTTGATTTGATAACTACCTTCCTTCCTCTTTTCTAAGGGATGGTAGTGATTTATTGGTGGCTAGTCTTTCTACTCTTTTTAACTTTGTAGCGGTGCTCTCACTTTAGCGGTACCAACCGTCATCCTCATTTTTACGAAGTCATTTAGCTCTGTCCGAAAATCACCGAAGCATTAATCTTGTTTCTTCTACCCTCAGACTACTCGATATATATATATATATATATATATATATATATATATATTGCAACAGTCTATTAATAGACATTGAGCCATGGGAAACCATGGAACTCAAAAGAAGGTACAGAAATAGTAAAAGAAAACAACCCAACCCATCAAAGTTCATGGTTTCGTCAGAGGGCGTGATACTACCCGGTTTCCCAAATCGAAGTAGGGTGTTGACTTAGGGGACACCACCCCGAGCCTTTGGCTGAATAGCCTGCCGCAAGGCAGCGGAGCGAATTCAGGGAATCGCGCCCATTAGGAGCCGATAACTGATTGCTCAGTTCATACGCCTTTCGTTTGTTCCTTTGTCAAACAGGGGCCCAATGCTCCCCAAAATTACAGCATAAACTTGTTGGGATACAATGCTTCGCCAGGATGAAGCAAGGGGCGGTGATTTTATTTAGTGGCGAGTCACGTCCGCCACGTCATAGTGTTGTTATATGGACATATGTGGCTTTTTATAAGGAGAACGCTTGCCAGGCGAAAGCCCACCACGTCCTGGAACACAGCCGCCGAACCGTTTGCTGGAACGGGAAAATCCCCAACCACCCAGCTGGCACCACGAGGAAGTTGTTCGGCAACTCAGCCACTCGGAAACATCACTTTGTTACGACTCGCCTGATTAGTGGGAGCCAGCTTGGCTTTGGTTATGGTCGAGACCTCATTGATCACGCACCATTAACGCTCAACTCATTCAGTTTTCTAAAAAAAGAAATTCTAGACAGAGGCTATTACTTTTTTTAGCACATTCCCCTGCAGTAGTTATGCACTTATCCCAGCGTTTCACTAAAACTTGGAAAACTTCCACATACACAATTACCACAGTACTCCTGAACCAGTTTAGGATATCTTGTCTCGTGGAGATTCTTTTAGGGGTCTAAACGAATGGAATTCATCTTGTATTAACAGGAGCAGGCGACTGTCCTAACAAACTAGAACCGCTCCGTTATAGCCCCAATTTTCAAAGGAGGCTCCCGTTCAGAATGCAGTAGTCATAGAGGGATCTGCCTGGCTTCTAAGTTACTTGCCTCTGTCGTGCTCCATAGACTGACTGGCATCCGTAAAAGCCAGATGCGCGAGGAGCAAACTGGGTTTCATCGAAACCGGGGCTACATTGACCACATCTTCACTTTACGTCAGTTGTTTGAGCACCACCATGTTTATTGGTCACCCACTTTAGTCCTGTTTCGAGACACCAAAGGTGCCTTCGGTTCTGTTGATCGATCTACCTTTTATGACTGTCGACTGAGGAAAGGTGTGTCCGAGAAATATGTCAATGTCATAAGAGCATTGTACAAGCATAGTTTGGGCAGAGTGAGACCTTACTGTAAACTTTTGCCGCACTTCAATGTCTCCAGCGGTGTGAGCGATGGCGAAGCTAAATGGCGAGACGCGGAGCTGCTCCCAGGTGATCACCTGCTTGACTTGGAGTACGTCGACGACATTACCCTTATCTGTGACAGCTTTCAAACGTGCCAAGTGGCATTGGACAAATCAGCATTGGTTGTCAGTTGTTTCGGGCTATGTTTCGCACCGTGGAAAGGCAAAGTCCTTCTGCAAGATTGGAAGGGACCCATTGCTGCGCTGATCTTTGGTGGTGATCATTTAGAAGTCCTCGAGAAATTCGTGTATCTAGGCAGCTATATCAGAACAAGCGGGATTGAAGATGATATCAAAAACCGCATAGCAAAAGCACCAGGCACTTTTACCAGTGTCCGCCACCTGTGGCGCCGGCATGAGCTTAGTCTTGCTCTGAAGGACAGAGCTTACTATGCAGCCATCCGTTCATTCCTCCTGTACGGTTGCGAAACCTGACCCATCAAGTCGACAGACTTAAAGAGGCTTTTTACTTTCGATCACTACTGCCTTTACAGCATAGCTCAAGTCTAGTGGGAACACCGCGTTAGTAATGAGCGTGTTCGGCGTCGCTTATTTGATGCAGGACGATCGAGTGAACCTCCCAGCAGCAGTATATCACGCACCAGGCTCCGATGGCTTGGGCACGTGTTGTGCAAGCCTGCACACCGACTCTCGCGAGGCGCGTTGTTTGCGCGACCCGGGTCTGGATCGAACAAGAGCGTATGCCAAGCGATGACTTGAACAAGGGGAACAAAGCCCCTCACTTCGAAGTTGGCGTCTGTTGGTGTTTCCTGACTGCCAGACTGGGGACCGAAGGATGATGGACACGTTTGGCTGGATACACTAGCTGACATAGCGAAAAGCTAACCCCAGTGGCGTTTGTGTAGTGAGTTTCTTTGTCCCTGTTATCTCTTTTAGCTCCCTCTACCAACAACAATCACAAACCCTATGCATAATGTGATATGTAGCATTATGTTACTTTTTATGGCTTTTTAGTCTGTATTGTTTAATCTCTTAGCTTTTTTGTATTGCGGCACATTAGCTGAGGTGTGTTTCTCACCCTCGACTAACGTGTATTGATGTTGGTAGTGATGATGTGCTAACAGTGCTATGAGGAGGCCGAGATAATAACTCCAAGCCGATTCCTTGTGATGTTAGTTCAGTTCGGTTACACAACTATGTTTTGTACGATGAACTTAGTTACCACAACTTGGTCCGCCAAAATAATATTAACTAATAGCGGTGAGAAAATGAGATGGAGCACAAACAGAATAGAAGGATAATAAAGTTAAGGAAAAAGTTCGTCAGACGATTTTGGATAGAATATGAATACCTAGATACAAGAAATCCGACACGTGCGCCCCACTGACTGCATCATGACCAATGTAGTCTTCAACCACTAAAGTGGACCATCCCGATTCCCCCCATCTACGAAGACGGCACGCAGCTGCCTGACCCAATCTCTCAGTTGTTTTCTTCGCGCTTTATGTCGCCTCATCGACTGGACACTTCGCTCTTTCGCCCAACTCGATGCAACGACGGCGTATGATACACGCCGTGGAAGTGGGTCAACGAGCATACGGAGGATATGACCTAGCCAACATAATCGGTCCAGCCTCAGCAAAGACTCAAATGGGGCACCTGAGGATTTCTTGCCAAAGACCAGCTGGTGTACTTTAACATTATTCACCCGGTGTTCCTTCCAGGTTTGGACAATCCTCCGCCCTTAGCGGTGACCACAAACGCATAGTCGTTTAACGTCTACAGTGAACTAGACATATCTCTAATCCATACAACAACACCGGTCTAAAGGATCACACGCCTGCCTTGTATCCGAGGAAGCTGCTTCGATCCTGCGTAACGAACCGCTTGACCCTCGCAATATCCTTAGCTCACGCGCTACAGTGAATCGTTGGTACTATGTGCCGGTATAATACTTATACTACTTTTATCGGCATTGTGGAAGCGTTATACATCCCACCTTTCACTGACATTTTGATATTTTGTCGTCTCCATCAATGTTTGTTCCACGCAGGCTGGCTCTCCTGATACACGAAGTAAATTGCTCAGTGATGTGACCGCATGAGGTGACACAACGACCAAGATAACTGAACCGATCCATCACTTCCAGTGGCTGGTTGTAGCAGTCCTTCAGCGTTAGTGTACACTTTGAGGATGCAGCATTACTCGTCGGTCCAAAGAGAGCTGTTTCCTTCTCAATGTTGTGATTCGCTACCCTTGGTTTATCCTGATTGGTTGAACTTCGCTCAACGCTGATTCATCAATTAGCGGACTTCTGAGTTGAGTGCCTTTTCTTTCTGGGCAGTTATACGTTCTACGTACCTCCTGTAATATATTTGTGCTACATCTACTTTCTGATACAACATTTGGCGTCACGGATATCGCCATACATCTTTCAATTCAACCTCTATCGGCATTTTGGACTGACTGTAGAAACAGAGCTACGTTAAACGCCTCGCTTCATTGGAAAATTTCCTTCCAGAATTATTTGCATTTCATTACCAATCTAAAGTCTCCAATCAGCGAGGAAAACAAGTTAAAGCTGCCTCTTCACTTGCTCGGATATGAGCAGCAACAGCCGTTTGATTATCCTAACCTCCAGGGATGCAAATCAATCGCTGATGCATTCAAATCTCTCGATCACATTTGGGGTTTCTACATGAGTCTGTTCACTGCAATGGTACATCTTCCCCAGAATGTAACCGGAGCCAGGTCGATCTCTAATGATTTTAGCACTAGACTTAATCGTGCAGTACGGCCGTGCGATTGCTCTTCTTTTCCGTAGCAAAAGATCAAAGGTTGCTTGCTGACACAACAGTTAATCTCTGGAGTTGCTGATAACTGTATACGTGAAATGCTGCTACAGAAAGACGCCTGAACTCTGACCTGGCATAGGGCCTGCGGTTTGGCCAGAATGAATATGGAAGTTTCTC